CTTTCGTATAAAACATCTTAAAGAAGTTTGTAGGTCGCACTTTAATTTTGACTATGGTATCGATTATTGGCATCAAAATGAGTAGCACTACCGGAGTCTACATCTTTGCACTGGAGTTTTTTTGTATGCGGGTGTAATTGTCACAGAAGCCTGCAAACCAAATTAATTTTAGTTTATTTTACTTTGTACCCTCATACTACGTATATGCCAAAATAGAATTTAGTTGTCATTTGTTGTTTCAACGATTTAAAATGAATGAAGAAAGAAAGAATTTCCGGACATTCGTTTATAGGAGCTCGAAATGTACAACAAAATACATTCGCAAATACACCTCCTAATTTTCTACACGTATTTAAGAAACGCCTGTACATTAAAATGGATTATTGGTATTTCATTCACCTAAGAGATTCTCAAGGTTTCTGTCCATGTTCGTGAATTACTTATCAGGTTTCCCAACTTAATACTGACCCGATCAATAAACTCCAATTCCACGTGCCCACTCACTAAAATTTATTCTAGAATTCATCGATATACATCTCTTTTTGTCTGGCGTGCGAACGCCTTTATGAATTATAACAATCCACAGATTATTCAACTCCAGCACACTTTCCCATGGCGTATCCTAGCACACACGTTCATTGTTACATGTTTGGTAATGAAAGTGTAATAATTATTATGCTGGCTATTTGCGACACGAATTTCGTAGCCGCCAAATAAAATTCGTTATCTACGAATCGGACTTTCTTCCGTTTTGAGAGAAAACCGGCGCGTTTATGTACACGCACGTATTTTGCTTTCTTTTGTCATTTTTATAAATTAATATCGTTCGTTTAAGTGGGGCAATGAGGTAATTTGAATGTGACAGTACCATGGACGTGGCCCATTTAACGTTAAAGTATTCGATTCTATAAAATGTATTTAGTAACATTACAGGGTGTTCACGCTTTTGAAGAATTATTTTTAATATCAAAAAGAACCCAGCACTGGCTTTATGAAAATGTGGGCTCGGTCAGATTGGTTGAAATTGTGGTAAGTTGTTTGGCTTGTTTGGCTGACCAAAAGTCTCCACAGCACTGACAGTCTGACAATGCGTCAGTTCTGCTGATGATGGTTGCACACTAGTATGAGTAGAATATTGCAATAAAAACAGTAACTTTTAAAGAATGTTTATAGAGTGACCTAGAGGTTTTAATATGAGATTGTTTGTTCTCTCCCTCCTTCTTCCCCATCATTTGAGTGGTGGGGCCTCGGGCTTGGGACCTGTATGTCGTCCAGTCTGGTATTTGGTATATGTCAAAAATGTTATTTATCAGCTTTTCGAAGTCATCCAATTTTTTCTATAAACATTTCACAAAAGTCACTGTTTTTATTCTACTCATATTACTTTGCAGCCACCATCAGCAAAACTGACTTGAACCACCATAAGTAACAAGGAATTTCGGACCCAAGTACTATGCGCGGAGACTTTTGGTCAGTAACAAAACTTACCACAATTTGAGCCAATTTGACCGAGCCCACATTTTCATAAAGCCAGTGCGAAGATTCTGAAAGAACCAAAACGATATTTATAAAGTGTGCATGAGCAGTGACACCGCTTCTACCATTTAGCCCAATATATAAAGCAGTATACTTCGACAACAGTAGAGGTAAAAGAAATGGTTTGAATATTTTGTTTTTTTTTTGTCTCTGCAATATATTTACCTACTGCTTGCATTAAAATTGGTTGTTTCTTAACTGGTGTCTAGTGTGAATAAAATTTAGTAATAGAGTGTTATTAGTTTTGTTACGANGTCACCTCATACGTCACCACATATGTCATTTCAAGGGCGAAAGTGGAGGGGGGAGACTCACAGACGGTTAAAATACCCTACTAATAAAGTTTTTTTGTTATACAGGGTGTTCCTTTCATGTTTCAAAAAAACTTGTGTGCAAGTTCCTCATGGAAAAATAATAGGGGTAGTACTTTGAAAATCACCTATACTTCGAAGCCGATACTATAAATTGCCCGTATAGCCGCAAACAGAGCAGCACGCACATGTCCAAGAATATTCAGTCTGTCACTACAAGTGCCCAGAAAATAATGACATCTATTTGGCACCAACTCACCATTTTTTCCTCAATGAAATGGCCTTAATGAATTAAAATATTATAATAAATTTTATTTCACAATAGTATTACAATAATAATTAAATACACGCCAGTCAGAAAGAATTACATTTTTATGTAAGTATTCGATACCTATGTATGTTTTCAACCACGAAAATTGAATAATTCCAAATATTTTGAATTTTCAGCACCAAGAACGGCGGTGACATCATTTTTGACAGTAAGGGTATGAAGCAATTACTCATCAGCTTTCATTTCGACTTTTATAATGTCATAATCAGGATGTTATTGAACCGGCGAGAAATATATGTTTCAAAGTTTTGTTTCATTTGTCGCATTAACCTCATAAAAAGCTGCTTCAGTTTTAGTCAGTAATCCCTGAAATAATTTTGCATATAGTCGTAATCATGACAAAATTGTTAATTCTTCAGGAGATGAAGTGGGGACAAGTCAAATAAAAAAAGTTTTCTATTTTATTTCACCACTCTGTAACTAACCATCCACTAAGGTATTAACAATCTCACAATTATCTAAAAAATCTATTCATCTCGAACTAAAATGAAGTTAATATCGATAAATTTATTACAAGTGCTCTATTTTTAGGACATTTTTTTGTGACAGAAACTGCTCTAGATTTCTATTGTCATTGTGGCATGAAAATATAGATTTCCCCTTTAATGTACTTAGGTATCTAAGTGTTTGTTGTAAGTATTTATTGTTTTCTATGCAAATACATATATTTTACGCTATATATCTTATAAGAGATAAAGTAGATAGGCAAAATAAATCTGTAAATATCGATGACAAATTGCAAAAATTAATAATCTGCTTAAAACAAATAAAGTATAAGGACATTATTATTATTTTTGAAGTACTCACTTTAAAGCTATTGAAACGTAACCGGAACAAAGTCCATTTGCTTTATTTAATCGTACGAATACACTTATAAAAAAATTCAAATAAAATAGAATGAGATGCTTTATTCAAAATAAAATGAAACAGTATTTAGTAAATACATGTTTGTATTTCATATTAGAATTATGTCCTATGAATGAGAAGCTGTGTAAAAATTACTCAATACTATGCTAATGTTACACATTTCTGAATATGGGGAACACAAAGTTGTGCAAAAATAAACATAGACGCCCAGTTTTATAACAATAATTTGCTTCCAATGTATCAGAAAAAAACGCCGTTCTTTAATTTCATTTGGTCACAAAGATATATACTGTCGATACAATTGGAGAGCGTACATTTCATTTTCTTCCACAATAGTAAAAGATAATCATCCCTTGCTACATAAATAACCATTACGGTGTAGGGTACAACTTTTTCTGTAGGCTATATCTAGACATCTGAAACTTTGTGGCGTTTATCAAATAAATAAACAGTAGTAATCTATATTATGTTAGTAAGCGGCAATACACGTTGTGGTAGCAGAAATAGGCTAAATCTGTGATCAAACCTGTGCCGCTCTATGCTCCCGATACACAATGCTACTGACTGCCACAAAAACACGTTCCATATACTCGATCAAGCAAAGCCGCAAACTCATTCACACATTCACAAACGACAATGAAATGTAATGTTCTTCAGAAAAAAAATCTGGATTGTTCACCGACAAGCTAGGCTGACAGGTGCCGCTAGATGCGCATCGAATAAATTGATCGATGCGAGGCTTCGGATCAGGGGCAGACATGTACATGTTGTTGCACAATGATGGTGTAGTGTGATTACTAAAATGTGACGTAGTTGATTTTTCGCCACTATTAGTAAAGATAACATCTATTAAACATTTCGACTATTTTAGATATGCGCCTGTGACCTCGTAAATGTTGAACTGCCGACGAAAGATCTTAGCTGTTTGCCAAATATTACAGGTGTCATTCATTGCTAGACGGAGCTGTAGTCCGCAGAGCAGTTATTTCCTATAACGTCATTAGTTAGAACTATAATTTCCCCTGGTGCGGCACCAGGTATCGTTGGCAGCAACGACAATTAATAATGGCATCCTTGTCATCAATAATAAAACCTACTATTAGTCCGGTCAAATTATATTGTATTTGTTGCATTAAATTGTTATATTGCTGTTTCAATTATAACATCTGTGTTATTTTGACTAAGGGACTGAGTTTTTTTTGAGTGTATATTCTCAGAATAGTATAGTTTATACATACAAGAGACACAAATAGGCATTTTTACTTGCATTAAGTGCCTGACTATATATATACGTGGCATACCGGGTAGGAAAGTACCGATGGTCTATCTGAAGTTACGTAAGAGCGATAAAGTAAGCCATAGAAATCCATGCGATAAAGAAGGATAGCTATAATGAAGGCGTCTCATAGTCACCGCCCATTTCGCCCTTCCACAAATAAGATCCACTTCTTATTTGTGGAAGGGCGAAATGGGCGGTGATTATTAGACGCCTTCACGATACCCATCCTTGTCTATCACATGGATTTCTATGGCTTACTTTATCGCTCTCACGTAACTTCAGATAGATCATCGGTACTTTCCTACCCGGTATATGTGCATATTATGTAGAACGTGACTCCTTCAACTTTTAGAATCGCGATATCTCAGGAATTACCATTCTTAGAAAAAAAGTATAATCACCATTTTTGTAGATAATTTTAGGATCTATAATTTTTGTCAGGACTACTTTTTTGATAAAACTTACCGTTTTCGAAAAAAATCCAAAAAACCTCAAATTTTGACCCCGAATAACCTTTTTAGCACATGGGATCGATGGGGACTTTTGACACTTTATTTCTAATGGTGTCCCCAAGGTCTCCACCAAAATTTAGCTCTGTCGTTATTTGAAATGTCTATTTTGACCGGGTTATATGGTGTAGGATAAAATTTGGGGTAATGTAACGGAATAAAAACAGTTTCAAGATGGACCATGTTTTTTTATTAGATTGCATAGTGAAAAATTTCGCAATCCATATCGCAGATATGAATTACATGATGGGATATGTTCCGTCATATGCGATACCGCATTGATTTATGTTACGAATCATCTTGAAGTATCCGTTCTCTCCCCATTCAGTTCCCCAGGAGTTCTTGATCAGCCAGTAGTCGACGCCGTTCAAGGTGCCATAGCCAACTAGGAGTATTCCGTGGTCCAATATCGTCTGGCTGCAAGTGTCGTCGACAAATACTCCACCAGCGTAGTTCTGGAAGTTGTCGGCTGTCATAGACGCAGAGATGGGTCCAACGTTTGCTGTGGGGAAAATAAACACGTTGATAATTTCATGAAATGGCAGTAAATTATTTTGAATCTGTGAATACCCTCTCTAATTTTCAAATGGTACTTCAAATTGCAATAAATAATCAATTAACCAATAATTATTGTTAAAATAAAATCGTTATTCTTATTTAATAGAACACATTTATCTCTCATTATTATTATGAGATGATATTATAGTCCCTATCATATTATGTCATGTTAAGTGGTTGTTTAATTTTGTTTATTAGATCATTTTTTTAGCAAAGCTGAAATTCATGGACAATATAGAATGTTGAAGACATCTGACGAAATTAAAGCAATCAAAGAAACCATTTATATAACACATATAAAATTCCAGGTCCAGATTTGAGCATAAATCTTCATAAAAGGCAAGTGACAAAGAGTTTGGACCTCCTGGGTTGGAAGATTTTCTAGCTCTTTCTCTAGGTTTGTGGCGTAACTATTTAAGAAGTGAAAATAATCCATCTCACTTACCGACAGCATCCAACAACAGGCTTTCGTCTGCGTCAAGGTTCACGAAGCCTTGGACATTGACGACACTCTTCGATCTGTCGAATAGACAACTTCCTTGGACTGCAGTGTATGGGTAGTCGCTTTCTGTTTCGATTCCGTTGTCTCTAATGTAATCAAATCCGGCTTGCATCCATCCTCCATCACACCCTGCGTTCACGGTAGAGCAGTCGACCAAGTTTTGTTCGCTGAGGCTCACCAGGCTACCGGTCTTGACGAAATAACCTCCTTCCACAGCACCAGTCTAGATTCAAGTACAGTTATAAATTCATTTTTGATTTCAGTTTAAATTAAAAAAAAAACCTTACTATCAATTTGATTAGTCTTGATGATAGCAACAAGTGTAAATACATACATATATTTAAAGGAAAAAAAAACGTAATTTTAGACTAGATATTTAAGATTCTTTTCTCGTGAATATTGATGATGCAGAAGAAAGTCTTTAATCTTAAGCAGGGTATGCTAAAAACTTCTTTATCCACGACTATTGTATAATGTACCCATTATACGTCTGTTTGCTCGACCTTATTAATACCCATTAATCACGGCAGTGATTAATGAGTCATTAATCACTACTGTTAGATGCTTCCTTGATTTAGCTATAATATTATATTGTTCTGCTACAATCAATCGGTTTTTGAAATTTTATCGTATAAACCGCTAAATATTTTCAATTCAGTGCTGTACATATAAAAAAAAATAAATAAAAAAGTGAAATTTCCTGGACCAGATTCGAACCCCGGACCCGCGGTTGGAACGGAAGTAGCATCTACACTGAGCCATAAGCGACTACGTTTGTGCGTGTCGTATATCTATTTCTTAACATACCATGTTTTTCAAAACATTTCATAAATCTAAGTAGCTTTTAAAACAAAACAAATTTGACTCAAACCTGTCAACATTATTGTTTCTGTGGATAGATTTCTCAGTGTTTGGATATTTTGTGTTAAATTGCGTTAAAAAACGAACTAAAAACAAAAAAAACTTCAACAAAAATATTTAGTAGTCGTGGATAAAGTATAGTATTCTACTCCCGTATAATGGCTATTATCCACTCGGTGATTTAGGCCACTCGCCTGCGGCTCGTGGCCGTAAACTTCACCTCGTGGATAATACCCATCATTATACGCTCGTTGAATAATATACTATTATAGTTGCTTAATGAACCCCGGTAAATAACGACAGGGCTAGCTAAAAAACTTACAGAAAGGGTCATGAAAAAAGTTTTCTTAGGATCAAAGCACGCAAGCTTTGGAGAGAGTGCTGTAAAAAGAACATGGAAAATGATTAGGTTTCAAGACCAAGGGACGGAAATATTTAATATGGATTAAATCAGACACAGAAAAATCTCAGAGCAGCCTGGAGCAGCGACCCACATGATAAGGAAAAAAATACCTACAGCACTGAATGCCCAACAAGAGCCGCAGGATCCTTGATTCTTGACTTCGGTGACGGCTCCCTTGGAAACCCAATTCATCTCTGCGGGAGCTCCGAGACCAGTGTTTTTGTGCCAAACGGTGGGTTCTTTGCGAAGAGGTTTCACAGAAGCGCTATAATTCAACATAGCCTTGAATTCTTCTGGGGTTTTGTCTGTGAATTGGTTGATGCCCATGTAGTACGAAGATTCTCCGTTGGCGTATTTCTCATTGTGTGCTTCGATGATGCGCAAGTTGCTTTCGAAGACGGTGTATCGGTGTTGTTCTTCCCTGAGGTTTCTGTAGTCCCGTCCAAATTTTTCCTAGAAATTTTGACAATATAGTAACCGAAAACAGTGATTAGGTGTCTCTTTCGTTTTATACGTACCTTGAATTCCTGCCACAACTGTTGGTCGGCGTTAATTGCCAAAACTAAGGCAGTCAGAACAACCAAGAACCTCATTTTGCTTTTTCTGGAAAAAATAATCAATATGCAATCATTTATTACCCTTAAAATAATAACGACGTCAATATTTTCAACATTTCTAAAGTTTTTTCAGACAAGATCTATTAAAATAATAAAAGTTACTTACCTTTCGAACAACAAAAAAGAGTACTAAAGAAGTATCCCAATGTTGCCCTTATATATTACAGTTTATATCTCTACGATCTTCAATGGAGTGCTATAAACATCGTTTAATGGTTATCGACAAAAACATTTTTCTGTGGAAGATATTATCTCTTTGTCAGAGTGTCATCTCTCAATTTTAATTGTCCGCTGTTATAAATGTATTGAAATCACTTGATACGAGTATTAGATATTTCTAAGACTTTATACTGATTTTTGTTTTCTGTGCGTTTCAAAGTAATACATGAAATAACAAATCAATCAAAACTTTAATTTTACGATTTATTTGTAGCTTAATTTCTTTTGTAATTTGTTCGTAAAAGCTGTTAGGAAAGTTACAGAAAAGTCATTTTCTTTTTTTAATAAAATTTTCAGGATTTGTTCTCAAGATCTGAAAAACTCAGTGGCGTATCATTTTTTTCCTCAATGAATACGCTAATGTGTTAAGTATCGCTTATGACAATCCAAATCCAGTATAAAACAAACAAATTATAAAGGTAGCGTCAGTTGCAATTTTTCTTTCAAGTTATTGAGACATACTTGAATAAAAGTTGGAAATGATAAAATGTACATTCCCTTACGAGAAAATTGATTTGATTTATTTAATCCTATGACTATGTCGACTGTAACTGAAAACAATTTCAGTTAAAACTTTAATTAAATATCACTGATTTATAGAAAAATACCCACAAATATCTGTTTTAAGAAAATTTCCTTTGATGTCATAAAAATAACGAGTGCATAAAAACGATAAAGTAACAAAATAGTTGTCAAAGTGCTTGAAGAAAAACATTTTTTCCGTACAAGTTCATCTCACATGATAACTATGACAAAGGATAGGATAAAATTTGCGGTAGTGTAACAGACAAGAAACAGTTTTAATAGGCATTTTACTAGATTACTATGAAACAATTTTCAAAACGTATTCACAATCCATATCGCAGATATGAATTACATGACGGGGTAAGTTGCTCCGTATTTGATACCGCATTGGTTCGTGTTACGGATCATCTTGAAGTATCCATTTTCAGCCCAATCAACACCCCATGAGTTCTTAATCAGCCAGTATGGTACGCTGTCCTGGGTACCATAACCGACGACGAGTATTCCATGGTTCAATTCAGTTGGAATGCATGTTTCGTCAACGAATATTCCTCCAGCAAAGTTCTGGAAATTGTCGGCGTTAATTGCTGCGGAGATGGGTCCAACATTTGCTGTGAGGAAAATAAAGATATCAATATTTCCGTAAAATCCAAGTAAATTATTTTAGACCTATCAATACCTTTTCAAATATTTTTATATTATTTTATTTTATTTATAAAGGCCAGTGTTACATACATACACTTAAAAGTGTTTACAGGCGTCCAAAAAAAAAGAAAGTGGTAAATAACAATACACATAATGATAGCAATCAACTAACTGTTATACAAATATACGTAAACAACATATAATTAAAATAAATAGGATAAACGACATACTCAGCCTTATTCATATACGATAATACTGTCTACTAACATCCTATTAAGATCCTACTAAGAAATTTGTATTCATAAAAGGAATTAGTAAACTATTAGTCCTAGTTGGTAACTAAATTTTTAGTAGCGTGCTGGGGTATGTTTATCGGAGATAGTATAAAAAAACCGCCATCTGTCATCTCGTCTGCCTACATTTGAAGTTTCAAGTTTTTTGAAAAGTCTAACCAAGATATTTTTAGTTATAGTCCACAGTACAGGCCCCCTCTGGAAAGTTGATTACCACATACTTTATAACTCCTGAGGGGCATCCTTTTGACGAGTCTACCACATTTTTCCTCTACGACTTTTCTCGATTCCTCCGCTTTTCCACTCGGAAAAGTCCAAAAACATGGCAATTTCCCGGGGTCTTGAAAACTCAAGACCACATCTTTTATTTTTAGCTTAAGTAACTGGAAATTTTGTTGCAAATGCCGATTTAAATTTGTCCGACAGAAATTCCTCCGACATTGACGTGTCTACCGGTCGAAACATGCCAAAATAACAGGGTATTGAAAATCAATTACCACATAGGTAATTTTTAGTAAAATTAATTGTAAATAATTAATTCAGTCAAAAAGTATTGTTGTCCGACAAATTTCAAGCCGCGTTTTTTCAGTCCGACAGCTGGAAATCGGAATTTTCACGGGGTATGAAAAATCGATTACCACAT